AGTTTTTCTCCTAACCTGCCTCCTCCAGGAGGTATATAGTGCATTTTCAAATTAGTGTCTATTGAGTATCACAGTTGTACTTAATCTTTGTCCCACCTTTCCTGTGCCCCCTTCTCCTCTCCCAAACAGATAAATTTACATATAAAACAAAAGGCACAGAAATTTAAAAAAACAGCAACAGGGAAAAGGAAACACAAAAAAGTAAAAGACCTCTTGTTTCCATTTCTTGGAGTTCATTTCAATAACATTTTATATGATCATATGCACATAGCTATTGAGCCTTTATGATCCTCTCCTAAGGGTTTGAGATTTTGTCTTTAAAAAAAAAATCTTTAATCCTAGTATGAAAGACGAATCTACATTTATAAAATATTATAGTATCATTTGGGAACTTTATTTTACCATGTTATTTTCTTATTATCTAGATGAGCTTTTGCCTTTTAAGTTACTTCTTGAAATTACTTTGACTAATATGTAAGTTACAGTGAATTTTAAAAAATCATGATGCATGTTTGTTTAATTAATCACTATTAATTTACAGTACTGAGAATTTAACTCAGGGCTTTTGTTCATGTTAGGTAAGCATTCTCCTACTTGAGCCACAACCCTAACTCTTACTTACCTTTAATTTGAAGAATATGAGTAATAATGAAGAGCCAAAGCTTCTTAGTCCTTCTTTTTACAATGCCATTTCCATATAAAAGTCCCCAAAGCTTTTAGTGATGTTAGTAGTAAAATGAATATTAAGTTTTAAGTTCAGCTATGAAAAGAATAATTATCCACCTTTAAATTTTCATCCCCCTTTTTAAAAAGCATGAAATTAATTTTTAAGTCTTTGCTATATGATGAATTGTGGTTTTCCCCACTGCAGTAGTATTAGCTGGCATTTCACTTCATGGTTGTCACATTTATAGGCCTAAACTAGCAACACGTGGTGTGGGAAGGGAGTTTATAGGCAGTTGGTGGCAGGATTTGTTTTAAATGATGTGAGAATGTTGGTTATTCACTCTTGTTTCTCAAGTAACTTCTCCCCACCTGAATACTCTTTATTCCAAGACAAAATGATGATAGCAATTTTATGGTACTGTATAAATGCCAGTAATGTCAAAGAGTGCATAAAAGAATCAGAATCTGAAACATTTAATGCATTATGGCTATTCTTTTTTACATAAATCATCAGAACATTATTATAGTTCTGCTTTCTTCTTTGTTGTAGAGACATTCTTCCTTTGCAATTTATTACTTAACACAGTCATTTGACAAACTACTGAAAACATGGGAAATACAGAATTGGTGTATAGAAAGTGATCTCTAGGTCTATGATTTCAAAATAAAGGAAGCAAATGACAAATTGCTGAGTGTTGAACCTTTGATTTGATATGGTTCAGTTTTTAGCTCTCTGTGATTGCTTAACCACAATAGTTAGTGGTGAGATAATTACTAGAAGCAGCATAATTAGGGACTATATCACATTGAAGGCACTGGAACAGTAGGCTTGAGAATTATTTCTCTGTTCCAGGATAGCCGTGTGCCTCCCCATGAATTTGCTCTCAGATTTCTTTATGCAATTTTGCAAAGTTTTTCTCTCTTTTCTGACATTCTTGAATTTATTGATGTAAGAAAGGGTCCTATTTTCCTTTCATTTGTTTATGCTTAATTAAATGTTCACCTGGGCTACTTCTAGATTTTTCCCAGTTATACTTAAAATTGCTTCTGTTCCTTATATATTTAGTTAACAATGTGATCCAGTTTCTTTGCTGCAGCAGTGATCACTTTACTGTGAACTATAGTGCATTCTGCACAGTCATTGCATGACCTTTTGTATTTCCCACTTTAACATTTTAGGATCCCATGAATGGACTCTATAGGATCTTGCTGCTATTCTGCATTTCTTTTCGGCAACCTTTCTTACTAGAATTTTCTGTACGCTACATTTTTAAAAAATTATGCTCTTAATTTTCAGTTTCCTTTCTTTTAAATCCATTGCAATTGCTTAAATAATCTGTGTAAAAATCAAGACAGTGTCCAAGAGAATAACTTGTAAGCATGTATCAGTTATCTTACAAAAAATGTGCTATGAATATATTTATTGATGGAGAGGGATTTGGGGACATTTTGGATAGGTACAACAATATTCTTCTAAAATCAATATATAAAATGAAGTCCCATTTTATATACTTATATAAGATATATTAAATGTTTCATATTTATGTGAAATGTTTCATATTTGTAAGAAACACCTGTTAGGATAGCCCTCAACACAAAATAATTTATTGTATTTTAAAATTAGAAAATATAGAGAAAACACAACCTTCTTAATTTTTCTGTGTATTTGTTGAAAATGTATTTGTAAAGCTATATATGTATTCTAATTATTCAAATCATCTCATCAAGATGTACTCACAACAGCATAGTAGTTCTTATAGGACCTATATGCTATAATTCCTTATGGTTCCATCTGTATCATAGTAGCTGGTGGTAAAGAGTTAGTATATACAGACAGAACCTCATAACTAGCCCACAGATAAAGAAAACATTTCAGATCTCATATTCCTCTCATCATTTCATATTTCTAAGCACAGAAACTACATTTTAGTACTTTACAAATAAGGATACGGATGACTACCATATCGTTATTAGGGTAAAAACTAAATACCCACAAAGAGGAAAATACTTGCAATTGCAGTCTTTATTAAATTATTATTTTCTTGATAATGAGTATTGAGCTCAATGCCTTTGGCAAGTACTGTACCATTGAGCTCTTCCCATGGCTCATATTAATGATTTTTTCAGGCAGTATACTTAAAGATATATGTCAGGAGACTCCTCAGTGAAAGGAACAAATTGTCTCATCACAATAATACCGCTGATCTAATGTGTTCAACCATAGCTTGTGTTGTTCCAGAAATGGCTTTAAAAAATGATATGCACAATGAAATAAAATAAATCATAAATAAATACATGGCAAAGTTTGAGCAAATTAAAAATTAGAATAAGGCTACATAACTTAAGCCATAATTTGCAAAACATCAACCAGTCGCTCCTTTCTATTTATCGCGAGTAATAGCAAATTTGCCCTAGCAATTTATATCAAAAAGGGTTGGAGAGAGAGAGTTATGTGATTCATTTTAAGACAAAAGGCCTGAGTACTATGGAACACCAACAGTTAGCATAGTAAATTCTGCAATGAGATACATGAGAGTTTTCAAGACAGACAAATCAGTCTGTTGTTATTGAGTTCTAAATTGATCTGAATGTGTTGGGCTATCCAGGCAACCTAAACTTCAATTCTTGTGGTTGCACTTTGTTTACATGCTTCAGTGAACATGAGATGTCTCCCTCCATGGTAAGCATCTCATGGGAAAACACAAAGCAACAGACTGGAACAATCAGCTGTTAGGCTAGCCTGCATTCTCTGGAGAGAATGACAAACTCCCAGCATGAATACCTCAGGGAGAAATCTTCCTCATTTCCTCCAAAGGGAGAAGAACCAAGATACCCATGTGCAAGGGCCAATGGTTTCTCAGGATTGAATTCAGGGCCCAGTGGAAAACACAGATAAATACACAAAAAATCCAGAGCCATTCACAATGGAGCCCTCACAGCACTTGCAACTTTACTAATATAAGTCTGTCGAAGGGAAAGCTCCAAGATCAACAGGGAGGGACAACAATGTATGCTGAGACACTGGAGGTGTTAATTTGTTTATGGAGGTTAACTATAAGCTGGACATGGGGTCATCTAAGGAAAATAATTTCTTTGGCTGTAAGATGAATGCTCTACATGATTACTTCTTCCTGGAAGTCATGACTGAGTTGAGTCTCTTGTCAATTCACACCATTGCTATTTAATAACAGTAAAACCATGCTGGGTACCGGGAGGGAACAAACTCATTTATTTTCTCTGACCTGAAACATTGGGGGCCATTCCTGATACCTTGCATTGGGTCCTTTTATACTTTTTCCTGTCAGAGCTTTATGTTTTCAAATCCACTTTCTTAAAAGCTTCTTTAATTCAAAACATTATTGATATCACAAGTAAAACTTTCAATGATAATTACCTCCTTGGTAAGATAGTTTGCTAAACTTTGTAAAGTTATTACTGCAGAATGCTGTACTTTCCAAAAACCCTGAGTAATAGGTAAGATACTTGATTGTTGTTGGTCAGGATTTTTCAGGTAGTTTTCCTGCATGTGGTTTTCTTAACTCCCAAGAGAAAATAGTCTTGTTCATTATTTTTTGCATGATTTATTGTCAACATTTCATTCATTTTCACTTAGATGAACAAAATGATTCTAATGGATAGTTCTTTCAAGCATTATTGCTATGATTAATGAAATCTAAATGAGGAAACTCACAAAACGAAAGAGAAAGTACTTCATTATGTGCATGATAGGCCAGACTACAGAAAACTTGCATCCTTCTAGTTTTACTAGAAATGGTTCTTTACAAAAAAAAAAAAAAAGACACAGTTCAGTGCTTCATATTTGTAATCCTAATTCCTCAGGAGGCTGAGCTCTACCCTGGTAGGGAAGTCCAGGTGATACTTATCTCCAACTAATCACCAAAAAGCTGGAAGTGGAGCTGTAGCTCAAGTGATAGAGTACTAACCCTGAGCAAAAAAAAAATCTCAAGGAAAGTACCCAGGCCCCGACTTCAAGTCTCAGTATTGGCACAGGAAAAAAAAAAAAAAAAAGCACAATTCTGTCAGGGAAGAAGTTTAAAACTCCAACTATATTTTCCTTTAGCAAAAGTAGAAATATTTTCTTAGAAATATTGAAATTCTTAACCAGATATAAAGAAGAAAAGGATTTTACTCATTTTTTATTTTATTTATTGAAAGTGTTTGGAAATTTCCTGCAACATAAAAATTGACATAAAAATCCACTTAAGGGGCCATCTTGCTTCCGAGCATGTGTGCGTCTAATTTCAACTGGTCTGTCCCAACCCCCTGAGTGCCAACCCTAGCCCCCTGCGCGGCCCCATTTCTAAAACTCGCCAAACTGCAGGCACAAGTGCGCATTGGTTGGGAAGGAACTGCTCGTAGAAAGAAGAAGGTGGTTCATAGAACAGTTACAGCAGATGACAAAAAACTTCAGTTCTCCTTATAGAAGTTAGGAGTAAACAATATCTCTGGTATTGAGGAGGTGAATATGTTTACAAACCAAGGAACAGTGATCCACTTTAACAACCCTAAAGTTCAGGCATCTTTGGCAACAAATACTTTCACCCTTTCAGGCCATGCTGAGACAAAGCAGCTGACAGAAATGCTTCCCAGCATCTTGAACCAGCTTGGTACAGACAGTCTGACTAGTTTAAGGAGACTGGCTGGAGCTCTGGGCAAACAATCTGTGGATGGAAAAGCACCACTTGCTACTGGCGAGAATGATGATGATGAAGTTCCAGATCTTGTGGGGAATTTTGATGAGGCTTCTAAGACTGAGGCAAACTGAATTGATTGAGTCAACTTCTGAAGAAGATATAACTTGAAGAAGTTATAATATGACTGCTTTTTAAAATTCTTTTGTTTAAGGGGCTGATAAAATCTAGATCTCTTAATATTTTCAAGCCCAACCCCTTGGACACTGAAGCTCTTTTCAGTTTTTGCTTATACAAAATTCATTCTTTGCAGCTAATGAAGCTGATAAAGCCTGGGAATAAAGGTTGAAACAAAGGTTAATAAAATTGTTTGCCTAGTTAAAAAAAATCACTTAAAGGATTAAAATATGTGCTTCTCTGGTCATCATATTCATTGGTGAAGACTTATTCTCATGCTTAATATTTTATGCCTCTTCCAAAATCAATGTGCATTTCTTAAATTGGTCCTAAAAGCTTATTTTATTTAGTTCTTAAAAAGATCTTTTAATTGAATATCCAATATATGTTAGTACTTCTACATATGACTGAGATTTAAAAAAAATGTATTCCCTAATCAAAATCATTCAATATCTTGGCATGATGAAAATTTGGTTCCCAACTAGAAGTGTTTAATTTTAATAGGACAGTTCCTAGATATTCCCATCTGGTATCCACATTGGCAGAATTGTCTATTGTGAGAAAGAGAAAAGAGTTAATCAAAAAGACAGTGTCTAAAGACTCAAATGATTTTCATTTAAGTTAGGACTGACTAATTCCTAGCAAATCTGGACAAGTTACCTCAATCCTATCAGTCTCTGTTTCTTTATTTGCTACAAAAATAATTAGTAATCCATGGATGATCTGAGAGCCAAAATGTTTTAATAAGGATAAAAACATTTAAACTAAACAATATTACCTTAATAATGTGGGTAATAAGTGGTAGCATAGCTAGCACATCTTTGTGGTACCAGGAGAAAGAACAATATAGTTGTTAATTTGAGAAATCGTCTCCCATCCTTCTCCCAAACAAGCTTTATTTGACCCTATACTTTGATTTGCCTCGGTATGCCCCACAGAAACAGTACTTATTGCATTCTCTTTAATTTTTCCTGATATTCTGACCATAGTCCCTGGTGACCATTCTTTTTTTTTTTTTTTGTCAGTCGTGGGGCTTGAACTCTGGGCCTGAACGCTGTCCCTCAGCTCTTCAGGTTAAGGCTAGCACTCTACCACTTGAACTACAGCACCACTTCGGTTTTCTAGTGGTTTATTGGAAATAAGAGTTTCATGGACTTTGCTGCCTGAGCTGGCTTTGAACCGTGATCCTCAGATCTTAGCCTCCTGAGTAGCTAGGATTACAGGCGTGAGCCACCGGCACCTGGCTTGTCCACTCTTATCTTCACCTCTGTTACGCAGTATTTGGGGAACCTCTATCATTGTATCATTGGCTTCTGTATCATATTCTTCTATTACAGGCTGCATATTAAGATACTGCTAAAATGGGAGAGGAGGAAGGGGTAGGGAAGGGAGTATAGTAGGAAGGGAGGAAGGGGACTGAAATGGGAGATGGATGGAAAGGGAAAGGAGGAGAGAGGGAGAAAGGAGGAGAAGAAAAGAGAAGAGGGGAGGAAAGAGAAGGGGAAGTGTGAGGGGAGAAGGAAGTATAAATGAGCCAATCATGTATTATGTCGAATTATGTAAAATATTCTGTTTTCAAACTTTAACTATAAAGGGATACTTTCAATTCAAAGAGAAAATACGTCTTAATTTATGAGCCAAAGTGAGAAATAACAACTTATTTTCCTTTACTTCAGTTACGTGTACTTTGATGGTTCCTTCCTTTACCCAGCTGACAATCAGGTGCTGTCTCTGCCAGTCCTAGGCTACCCCGGGCCAAACTAAAGCAGGAAAATGTTTTACCTGTTTACATTTGACTCAATCCAGGCCTATATGTACTGAGCATTAGAAGTAGATATACTGCTGTGTGTGAAGGATGGAACATACATGTTCTCTCTTGGAGTGCTTGGTCCACTTGTAGTGCTTGGTCTCTTCTTTGAGCATTCCAGTTTGGAGAGTGATTGAACAAAAAGATGAATGAGTGGAAGATTAATAAGGAGCCTCAAGGGGCTGGAAAGGTGGCTCAGTGGTAGAGCGCTTGCCTTGCATGCATGAGGCCCTGGGTTCGATTCCTCAGCACCACATAAGCAAAAAGAAAAAAGCTGGAAGTGGTGCTGTGGCTCAAGTGGTAGAGTGCTAGCCTTGAGCTGAAGAGCTGAGGGACAGTGCCCAGGCCCAGAGTTCAGGCCCCACGGCCGGACCCAAAAAAATAAAAAATAAGAAGCCTCAAAATTTACTCCAAGTCAGTCTCAGCCTATGATATATGTATGATAATTACAGATTACATACACGGTATGGTTTTCATTAGAATTGTAATTTTATTAGACATTAAAACATTCCATTACCACTGCTTTTTTATTTAGTTGCCTCTGAATGCATCATCTCTTCTATATACAGAACAGCTCCAGATAAGGATCTGGAGAAAGATCAAGAAGACAACTTTTTTTCTGCTAATTTATTTTATTGATATCTTTTTTGTTGTTGTTGTTCATGGGGCTTGAACTCTGGGCCTGAGCACTGTCTCATCTCTTTAGCTCAAGGCTAGCGCTCTACCACTTGAGACACAGCACCACTTTGGTTTTCTGGTGGTTTTATTGGAGATAAGAGTTTCACGGCCTTTCCTGCCCTGGCTTTGAACTCAATCCTCAGATCTCAGCCTAGGATTACAGGAATGAGCCACCAGTGCCCATATATTGGTATCTTAAAAAAAAATACTTTTAAGTAGTTGTACAGAAGAGTTGTCTATTCGACAAAGCAGTTTAAGAATTCAGTGCGTCTTGATAAATGTCACCCCTTTCAACATTTTAACCCACCCCTTCTAATTTACTCTTCCCTCATTTTTCTTAAAATTTTTAGGATATATGTATTGAATTTTAGCAAAGCAATATATACACAGTGCATCTTGATCTGTGTCATCCCTTCAACATTTCACCCCTCCCCTTGACCCACTCCTCTCTTATTTTTTTTAATTTTGTGGTATATACAGTGAATTTTTGCTTTCATTCTCCCCACTTTCTCCCTTCATTCATCTACCCTCTTCCCTTGGCCCCAAACCAGCTCTTGCAAGTATCCACTTCATGGTACCTTGTTTGCGCAAGAATCACAGAGCTTTCCCACTAAAAGTTCCAGGTTCCAAGTACTCCTCAGTTCTGAGCAAACTGGGTCACTGTCTCCATAAAGATATCATCTTAATCTTTCCTCTCCATACTGTTCAATGTATCTTGCATCAGTGAAACCTGGTAAAGATACTACTGTGTGACAGTATCTGTGGTTGTTGAAGAGAGCCTCTTCAACAATGGTGCTGGTTGGCTATACACATGTCAAAAGCTGAAGTTAGAGCTTTATATATCACCCTGCACCAGAATCAACTCCCAATGGATCAAAGACCTCGAGGTAAGAGCAGATACCCTGAAAATATTACAGGAAGGTATAGGGTATATGCTAGGGCTCCTTGGCACAGGTTGAAACTTCAATAAAGACTCAGAAACACAACAAATCAAAGAAAGGCTGGATACATAGGATCACATTAAATTGCAGAGCTTCTGCATGGCAAAGGACATAGCTAGCAAGATAAATAGAAAGCCCACAGATTGGGAGAAGACCTTCACTAGCCATACAACAGACAAAGGGCCTCATATACTTAGAGCTCAAAAAATTAAAACCCCCAATAACAAATCCTCAAAGAAACAACCACCTCATTAATAAAGAATTAAATAAAAAATTAAAAAGTGACTTCTCTGGAAGGAAATAAGAATAGCCAGTAGACACATGAAGAAATGTTCAACATCTCTGGCCATACAAAAGGATACAATCAAAACTACATTGAGATTCCACCTCACCCAGTTAAAATGGCCATTATCAAGAAACAAATAATAATAGATGGTGGCAGGAATGTGGCCAAAAGGGAATGTTATTACACTGTTGATAGGAATGTAAACTGGTTCAACCACTCTGGAAAGCAGTATGGAAGTTCCCCAAAAGACTATATATAGAGCTCCCCATTCCTAGACATTTACCCAAATGACCACAAACAAGGCCACACTAAAGCTACCAGCACAACTATGTTCATCACAGCATTATTTGCCATAGCTAAGATATGGAATCAACCAAGATGTTCCTCAGTAGATGAATGGATCAAGAAAAATGTTGTATATATATACACAAGATAATTCTATGCTTCATTCCACCAGAAAGAATGGCATTGCCCCTTTGATAAGGAAATGAAAAGACTTGGAAAAAGTCATAAAAATCATATTAAGTGAAATAAGCCAGACCCAAAGAAACATAGGCTCCATGGTTTCCCTCATTTGTAATAATCAGTATCTGTCTAGGATAATCCTAGCAGGATCACAATAGTTCAACAGCTATGTACATATGACTATATAAAATGATGCTAATTGAAATGAATGCTAAGAAATGGAAACAAGAGGTTTTGGGGATTTTGTTGTTTCTTAAAATGTACTATGTGAAGTTATTTTTTTTCATTCATTTTTCCTCCTTTGGGTTAACCCCTGTTGGCACTGTTTTCGGGTTTTTTTGGTACCCTGTATCTTGTATATATGTTTATCTAATTTGGGGAAGGGGAGGGGAATTAAAAAGTGATGAGACAAAGGACAAAGGGTGAACCAATGCAATAGTGATACTTATAAGGCACTATGTTTAAAATGAACTTTACAACTTGGTGGGGGAAATCAAAGGGGATAGAAAGTGGGAGAAAATAGGGAGAGGGTAACACTGTTAGACAAGAAATATACTCATTAACTTACTTATGTAACTATAAACCCCTGTACATCACCTTTACAATAAAATAAAATATTATTTTTTTAAAAAGATACTGTGTGCTGAGTGCTGAACTTGACTCCTCATATATTCCATCCTAGAAATTCTCACCATCTTGCCTGTGTCTGGTTAGAACTGGGAAAGGCTAAGCAATTTGGGTGGAAGAGATGTAAAGAGAAGCTTTCTAGGGACTTCTGGAAATAGCAAAT